CGATCCCCGGCGGTGACGAAAGCGACCGGACGAAGAACCGAGATATATATATATATATATATATATATATCCTGCCTCGTAATCCATAAGAATTCACACGACGTGCAAGGAAGAAACATAGAGAAAAGACTGCTGGCCTCGGCCGGTGCACTTTCCGAGGGAGACTTTCGAGCGCTGATCATTCCCTACTTGGAAACGTCGAATTAGTCGGGCGAAACTCACGCTACGCGCTGCTCTAATCTCGAGAGAGGGGGGAAAGGAAGAGAAAAAGGAACTCAGGACTCCGGAAGTGCACGAGGTGCCGCGAGCGGGTCGACGATGATCTGGTGGGCCGTCGAGAGCCTCGGAGCAGGCAGCTGAAGAAAAGCAGAAGAGAGAAGGAAACGCGAGGGAAACGAGATTCAGGGGAGGGAGGAGGGCGAAGGAAGATGAAGAGGAAATCATATTCGCATTTCACACACACACACACACACAAAACACAGACACGACCACACGCGAGAGGCGAACACAGACCCACACCACTTCACGTGTACACTCGCATTAACGAATAGAGGAAAAAAAAAGATAGTCTACTGTGCTGCATACATATTTAAATTTAACGGAGCATTAAGATAAGCATGGGTGTGCATCTTAGATGTATTAGAGGACCTCACTTTCGCCACTTCACACACGCGCGTTTTTTAACATTAATTATTATACAGAGCGTTATACATAGCGCGCGCGGCCACGGCGACGACGAATGCGAGGGGCTGGAGGGAGGGGGAGGGAGGTGGAGGGAGGGACCGAGGAGCGCGGAGAGCGAGTTGTCGAGCGAGGTGCCGAGGTTGATGCGAAGTGAACGCGCAGGACGATCAGGACGCCGATCTTCCATATTTAATAGGTCTTAGTTGTAGCGTTACGTTTACGTTGTAAACACATTGCGAAACGCGCGTTACGCGTCCGCGAGCGGACACCCCTCGCGGTGTCTCCTTCTTCTCCCTTTTCGCCTTTCTTATTTCGCCGGTGTGCAATCCTTGCCCTTGGGACGAGGTCCTCGACGAGCGACAGGTCTGGCTGAATCTGAGGATATCAGGCAGACCTGCTCGCTCTCTCGCTCTTCCTCTCTCTCTCTCTCTTCCTCTCTCTCTCTCTCTCTCTCTCTCTCTCTCTCTCTCTCGCGAAGCTCCGCGGATCGCGCGGACACGCGTCGCCCGCGAAAGTCGCAAGCTGGGACAATTCCCCGGAAAGCCGCAACGTCGCGAAAGCCCAACACCGAGACGATTAATACGCGAGTCGGCTAGCAACAAATTTTAGCAGCGATTAACGCGAGACGCAATCGTTGCCCGGGCAACGAGGAGGAATTATTAGACCGAAAATAGAGCACACACAGGTGCGTGTTAATATCTACGTATTCGGGGGCACGCTCAAATGAGCAAGCACTAATCCAGCCGCCTGTGCAACGAGACAATCCCGATACCTCGACGAAATTGCATTCCAAAGTTGCTCGTCTCGCTGCTCGACTTTCGAGCCTATTCCGTCAAATTGCCCCGCGCGCGCCTTCAAAATTCCGCCGCATTTTCTCTCGCGGCCAATGCGTGTCCGTCCGGAAAGCCTCCGACGACGAAAGGATGGAAGATCGCGAGAGAGAGAGAGAGAGAGAGAGAGAGAGAGAGAGAGAGAGAGAGAGAGAGAGAGAGAGAGAGAGAGAGAGAACGACGCGAAAGCTCCCTTCTCCCCTCCCCCCCTTTCCTCTTCTCGTCGGACGCGTAACGCCCGTCGCGGATGATGATTTCTCGCGCGCGCGCGCTTTAGTTCACACTAAGTTGTACAGAGTCATGCGTTTCGCGGTAGCCGTATTGTTGTACAGTAGCGAGTACATGTCGTAGAGCACCCACCGTTAGTAGGAGGTCGCGGGGCTGGGAGGGAGGAAGGGAGGAGGCACCGCACCGTGTCCTGATTGCCGATGCGTCGCAATCAAGACTCCCGCAATCGCGGCGGTCGCTCGACACCGAGCGTCATCGATCGATCGGGCGAGCGAGCGATCGATCGATTTATCACCATTACTATCTCCGTGTGCGTGCGTGCGTGCGTGCGTGCGTGCGTGCGTGTGTGTGTGCGTGTGTGTGTGTGTGTGTGCGTGTGACGTGCGATATACAGAGCGCGCGCGCGCGCGCGCGGCGGCGGAATTATCGGCGCTAATTTCGCGTTCCCCGATAACGGAAGACGCGACCGAGTCCTCTCTCGCTCTCTCCCTCCGTCAGTTGGCATTCTCGCTCGGTCTCTCCTCGGCGAGGGAGGACTCGCGCGAGCGATCCGCTCTCCCTCTTCTCACCCCCCGGAGTAAGACTCGCTGGGGGGATCGAGGGTCATCGTTCATTCTTTCCACTCGTATGTGTTTTCTCATCATCACCATCACCATCACCATCACCATCACCATCACCATCATCACCACACGCGAGATTCACGGCGAACCATGGGCGAGAAGTACTAACGAATGTAGGTGTGTACTACTATGGCTCTTTTATTACTTTCCTTTTCTTTACCACGACGATTCGAGAGAGGATATTGTCGTTATTTCATCGTTGTATTATGTATTATTTATACCGAAAGAGTACCACGTGTGTGTGTGTGTGTATGTATATATATATATGTGTATATATATGTATATATATATATATATGTGTGTGTATATATATATACACACATGCAATAATAATTATAATAAAGATCGACTAGTATATTTCGAACCCGACTGACAACAATTAAAGAATTAAATTACGCTGACGAGCGTGTGTTCCTTTTTGCCCCGTCTACCCCTACCTCTCTTACCGCCCCTCTTCTTTCTCTCTCTGTCTTTCCGCCCGATTTCTTGCGCGGCGTTTATCGCACCCGGCGAGAAATAAAGGATCGCTCGCGCAAAGTGCTTCAGCATGAAGAAAGCATCTCGGTATTCCTCTCTTTTTATATTTTTGCGGGCGTGCCGGGTTATACTTTTGGAAAAGGGTGCCGCATTTTCCTCCTCCGCCTGCCACCCCATCTGCCGCGCATCCTCTTCCGAACGAGAAATTAACATCCTGGCGTATTTTCGAACCGACCGAGCGACTCTTTCAGAAACGCACGAGAGGAAGAGACTCGCGGCGTTTCTGAGGCCTCGCCGCAACGGAGGAAAGGAGAAAGGGGAAAAGGCCGGAGGAGGAAGAATTTTCGTCAAAGGATTGTATGCTTAAGTGATTAAGGCTTCGCCGCGGAAATATGCATATTTTCGTACGAAATCGAGGAGAGAAGAGCAGAGAGACGGAGAAGGAAACACGCGCGGACGTTGAAAGGATTACGAGCGTAATCGCATTTTTGACCTTTCGTCCTGGCCGATTGCGATTTTATTGCGTCGCGGGGAACGAGCGAGCGGCGAGTGCGGTACCGCCGTTGCCGATAACGAGATTCGCGAATCGCTCGTTTCGCGCGCGCACTTTTTTTGCGCGCGGTCGGCGTGCAAAGAATGGCGGCAGAAAAAGAAGGAGAGCGGCGAAACGCGCGAGCGAAAAAGACCGACGACGACGACGAGACGTAAGGGCGCGTTGCGACGCACGCGGGGGTGGCTCGCTCGGACTCGGTCGTCCCGGTAAGAGAGGAAATCCGCCGCGGGGGCGGCGGTGGGGGCGGGAGGGGGGAGCGCACACAGGACGGTGGGAAACCGAGTTCGGCGGCGGCGGGGCCAATTGTTAATTAAGACGGCGGATTGCCGTGCGGATTGACAATTTGCAATTGTAAAATCCGTTCCTCGTGTAATCTCGTCCGTCTCCCGCGTCGCCCGGCCGGGGCTCGCTCGCTCGCTCGCTCGTTTCCAATCGCATGGAAATTGTTTCGCCCGGCAGTTTTCCACGTGCCGCGGAAAAACGAATTTCGAGACGAAAAGTTCCAGCGGGACGGACCGACGGCCAGTCGGTCGCGGCCGCGGCCGGACAGGTGGATCTCCCACGGAAAAGGCACATCGGAGATGTCCCGCGGAAAAGGTGGAAAACTTGCTCGAGATCTGCGTCGGGTGACGCAGTTGGACGCAAATTGATGGAGGAAGGGAAAATGGGAGGGATACGAGGTCTCCGGCTGTTCCCGAGTCGGGAAAATTCTCTCATAACGACGCGACGGTGGATCAACACAAGTGACGATAATCGCAATCAATGGTGGCCGGGTGAGACAATAACGACGATAACGACAAAACGACACGCACCGATTGATCTCCCGCGGTTTTGTAGAAAAAAAGTTATTAGTTAATAATCGCAACATCCTGCCGCGCATGCGGCTCGAATAAGCGCGATGCGATGCAGCGTCGTTCTCTGCAGATCAGTTTTTCCCCGCTCTCTCGTTTTTCTTTCTTAAGAAAAATAAAAATATTTTCCTACGCAGTTTCTCCTCCGAGCAACGGGGGTGGGGCGGGGCGGGGCGGAGGCCCTGTGTCGTTTGCGAGGGAAGAGGTGGGTGTCGAGAAATAATCTCAAGTAGGTCGATCGTATTTTAAGTCGACCAAGTGTATACACTCGGTTGAACAGGGCCAGCTGCAGCCCGAGATAAGAAGCATCGCCCACGTCACATTCCCCATGGAACACGATAGCGTAGCGTTTACCCCCATAATTCCTGCCCTTTAAGCCCTCCCCCCTCCTTTCCTATTTTTCACGCGCGCTCCGATCGCCCAGACGACGACGCGCGCTGACGATTATTAATTAGCTTCACAGCGATCGTCCAATTGTCGTCCCTTTTAATTGTCGCGATATTCTCCTCTCCCGCTCGCGGTGCCCCTTACGTTTTTTTTTTTATTTCAGTCAAGCGGGCCCGACAACTCTTGCAATTTTTCTCTTAAAGTAGCAGTCGTCCGGGGGAATTCAGTCGTCTCTGAAATTTGGGATTCGTCTCTCGGAGGGTTTTATCTCGCCGACGCGTCGACCAGCAGCTCCGAAGGATTCCGGGATTTTCCACGGGGCCGAGGACGAGAGGACAAAGTGGAAAGCGGGTTTAAACGCTCGCGAAATAACCCGCTCGGCGGTATCGCGCGTGGCGGACGGTTCGTATCGCTTTAAACAGATTCGATCGAAACCAATCGGTGGCTCGTACCCGTCCGCAGCCCGGTTCTCGTTTCACAGCCGCGTGAACAAATCACTCGTTCCACCCCCATGCGCGAATGCGAGAGGGGATCCTTGGCTCGCTGGAGCAGCAGGTAAGGACTCTCTCGCAGTTTCACGCCGGCCATCGGAACCACCAGTGGTGCTTTCGCGCCACCATTCGCGGTAATCGTAATCCTAATTGCTCGCGGACTACGCAGGAGGACAATTTCGGCTTTGCCTTACGAAATATCACGCTTTTCTCCTCGGTTCCCGCAAGCTCTATTTTTCACTATTTCCCGAGAGATAGAGAAACGCGACGACCGCTGTGTTCCATCATTACGAATTCGCGAGGTTGATTAAATTGTTAAAAACGCTCTGAATAATTAATTGGAAATTAATTAAAATTCCGTTGCGGACGGGAATACCCAAATTACCCAGCCCGACTGGCGCTGTAATTTTACGATTTCGAGGAGGTCCTTCGCGAGAGAGAGAGAGAGAGAGAGAGAGAGAGAGAGAGCGAGAGAGAGAGAGAGAGAGAGAGAGAGAGAGAACGGAGCGATCTTGAGAGAATTGCCGATGGCGAGCACGAGCGACAACGCGACCTCCGTGGAGTCCTCGAAGAAATCCTTGGACCTCGCGAGGAAGGAGTTGCGCTCGTTATTGGGCAAGATGGACGAGCTGCGGCTCCCCGTTAAAGCGTGGCAGCTACTCCGCGCACGTTCCCGATTGAGAGCAACGCGGATGAAACTACGCGCGAGGCACCTGTGGATCTTGCTGATCGCCACGTGGATGACGGTGCAAGTCGCGCGGAACCGCGCGCAGACCTATCGATACAACAAGGTGAGAGAGAACGAGAGAGAGAGAGAGAGAGAGAGAGAGAGAGAGAGAGAGATTTCCGATCGCTCGATACTTGACGCCTCTATTTCGGACGGATGCATTCTTCCCTCTTCGGACGCGAAACCGCGGCCCCTCCCCCGCCGGTCGCGTCGCCCTGTTTCCGCTTCTCTACTGACCGCGCATCGGCTCTTCGTCCGACCGGATGACGGAGCGCCGACGAATAATCGCCTCGTCAAATTCAACCTCGCCTCTCCCGCTTTTCTGGAAAATTCTTATCACCCCCTGTCGAGAATAAACCGCTCGGGGGGAGTGCAGAAGCTCGAAATTAAAGGGAGCCCAATTTGCCTGTCGCGCGTGAGCGCGACGAGCCGATTCAGCGGATCGAGCGTCACCAGCGTGAATATCGCTTTTCCAGTGCTTGATACCGATGCCGATGTTTACGCAAAAAGTTTTCCGCCCGCCAGAGGACTGCTCGATCTGCCAGGACGTTCAACAGGTTGACAAGCTCGCCGCCGTCGATCCAACGATTTTCGAGCAACGGTACCGTCTAGTATAACCAACTATGTAGTCTGGCGTATCGTTAACACTCACTCACGTACGACGTTCCCCGGCCGCCCCCGAAATCGAGTCGATCACCGCCGTCGCGGATTTCTTCCCGCCTTGTCAGATTCATCCTCGAACTCGTTCGGTCGGTGTCGCAGAGCTTGCGGACGATCGCATCCCCCCTGCGCCAGTGATTCGCGATTCATTGATCAATTTGTTCCAACCAAGCCGCCAAAATGGCCCGAAGTAAAGCTCGCTAAAGTTTGCCCACCCCCTTGATGATCGACTCGTCGCGATATAAATTACGGTAATATTGTCACAATATTATCGATAATCCACGCGTCCGCGACGAGATCTCTCCACGATGACGAACCGCCTCATTTGCACCCAGCTACGCGTACTCCGGCAAGCCGGTGGTGATCACAGACGCCATGGTGAACTGGACCGCGCCCAAGGTGTTCTCCTTCTCGTTCCTCAAGACGCTCTATCACGGCGAGGACGCCAATTGCCAGTTCTTCCCGTACAAGACGGAGTTCCGGAGCCTGCAGGACGTCTTCGACATGAGCGTCAGTCGAGCCACGATGGAGAAGGGCACCAAGCCCTGGTACGTCGGATGGTAAGCGACTCGCGTCTTCAATCCGTTCGGCAGACCGCGATGAATTTTATTTTATTTTCCTCTTAACCGGAATTATCAGCCACTTGTCGGTCGGAGGCTTCAGGATTGGCGTCGCAATTATTTTCGTTAAGGGGGGGATTGCTGGGAGTTACGCCAAACTCGTAAAAATGATGAGAAACGACGGCTATCGATATTCGAGAAAGATGTCGCTTTCGCCGGAGGAGGAGTTGCCTTCGCTTTCGGACCTCGCCAGGCGCACCCACCCGGCCATCGTCGTCTTCCGGCTCGGATTTGGAGAATTTGCCCGTTCTCGTTTGTGTTTCATTCGCCGCCGGAGCACGGGCGAGAGCAAACGGAGCGCGCGACCGCGGGCTTTACGATGATCGTAACTGGAAACTTAAGCGCGCGGCGCATTTTCACGGCTTCCGATGCTTCCTCGAATCACCGATGTGCGCGTACAGTTGCCTTCCGCTAACGGGCTTACGGGGAAAAGCACTTTTACGCGTCATATACGACTCGCGCGGAGTCGCGCGGCTCGAAATTGTGGTCGATAACGTTGCGGGGCGTTTCGTTCCCGCGAGGGGATCGTCGATCCCGAGATATAAAAATATATCCCGAGAAAGTAACACCGAAGGTCGAAGTGAAAATTATTATTATTATTATTACATACGTAATATACATGTATAAAAGTGTTGCAAGAAAGGCGGAGGCTGGCTGATATAATTATATTCTCTCCATCGAGTTCCTGCAAACACGGTGTCTAAAAGACTTCGTTACAAAGTTAACACCGAATCAAGGTTTAAATTAAAAGTCGGCTTAGATGAATCTCGAGAATAAACACAAACGAATAAACGAAGGAGATGCTCGAGGCGCCCAAGTGGGGCCCCGGAAATAACGGTCGAGTGGATTTAAATTTAAATAAATTCTAATGACTAAATATACCGACACATTAAATAAATACACCGATATACATTTAAACAGATGCATTCTTTTAATCTCGACTCTCGACGTTAATTTCTCAACCAGGCGCTTTTGGCCGCTATGTTTACGGGAACTCTGGCGTTTGTTCGGTGAATACAGGAATATAACTAGCCCGGCCTTCTTGAGAGACACCCTGTACATACACGAGCGCACGTACGTGTATCTCTCTCTGTATTCTCGCAGGAGCAATTGCGACGACAAAATCGGCGCTATACTGAGACAGCATTATCACAGGCCGTACTTCCTTCCCGCCACCGCGGAGAGCGAGAAGACCGATTGGATCTTCATGGGGAGCCACGGATATGGCGCCCCGATGCACGTAAGTCTCGCGGAGGGAGGCGCGTCTCTTCGCGCGGACAATAAATCGTCAAAATTAGCAACAATCCGTCGCTCAGCGGAGGGTCTCATCTCGCTCTGACGTGACAAAGAGAAAGGGATGGATAAGAGGAGTCAAACCGTCGCGACGTATCGTTCGAGTAGATGATGACCGCGTCATTGTAATTCCCGCGAGTCTCGCGGCGATCGCGATCTCCCGCCGCCCCCCACCCCCGCTCCCCTCTTTCACGTTGTCGTTGATAACGCATTGCGGAAAATATGAAATCTTTCGAGGTGGACGACGTGGAGCATCCCTCCTGGCAGGCGCAGATAAAGGGTGAAAAATTGTGGATTTTGGAGCCGCTGCGCGAGTGTCATTATACGTGCAAGAGGCTGGAAGTGATAGTGCAGCCCGGCGAAATAAGTGAGTCTCTCTCTCTCCCTCCCCCCCCCTCTCTCTCTCTCTCTCTTTTGTCCGCTCAATAAGCGTCCAATGACTAACGACCGGATTAATTGCAAATAAAATCGATTGCCTCTTTCACTCCACCCATCTCGTATTTAGCGACCGACGCGGCTCCGCCTCCCCCGCCCCTCGTTCTTCGTTCCGAAAGTCACGTTCGTCGACGTTTGTTGTCGGGGAGCGCTCGCTCGCGACCGAGTTTTACTTGAAATTCGCGATGCAAATAGCCGACACGTATCCATATGCTTCCTTTCCCGCTTCCTCCTCCTTCTTTCTATACGCGTACATATACTGTGTCCTTTTGTTGCAGTCGTCCTGGACACCAATAGATGGTACCATCAGACGAAAATCGTGTCCGAGGACATGAGCATCACCATCGGAGCGGAATACGATTAAAACGCTACGAATTGTTGCATAATAATTTTATGGCTCGTTAGCTCGTGTGTTCGCTCTCGTTGTAGCGATGATAAATGCAAAATAATCGGCGCGACGAGCCGAACAAGAAAGTCCATGTGTGTAACGTACGAATCTAATAAACGCAATAGTAGAGCGTACCGCAGTCGAAATTCTCGTTCCACATCGATCCTGCAAATTCCGAGTCGAACTCGAAGGGTCAATGAAGAATCTCGAGGTATCTTGGCCTACCTGGACGCTGCAAACGGCTACAATCTGCTTGTTGCTGTTTTCTTCGTGTTAAAGATGCTCCAAGGAACTCGGAGAAACTCGAGCAGGAATTGCGCTCGTTCAAGAATGATTCCAGGCTTCATTTTTATGTCTTACTTACATTTGTCTTCATCCGCTTAACTTGACACGCTCGCCCACGGCCCAGTTACAACAGCGAAATGCAAAAGCGAAAATATAAAGTTGAATATTTTTCGTCCGTGTTCACTTTATCAAAGTAAATCTGTTTTAAACTGACATTTAGAAATTACAAGGCAATTTGCAAGGGAAATTCCCAACGATGAATAATAAACTCTGTCAGCGAACGTGTCAAGTCAGCAATGTATCAATTATATAATTACTCAGCTGCGCAGATGAAATGAGGGGAGGGTAAACATCAGAGGATTCAATAAAGGTCAAAAGATATAAGAAAGAACAACACATTTTATTTTCGCAATTTTTCTTTCTTCTTGTGTCGCTGGAAGATTCCCGGCACACTCGTAGCACAACTCTTAACCTTGGATAACCTTTCGTAAAAATAACGATCGGAACCATTCGTTCCAAATGCTTCAATTAATAAACTCAACACACCAAATATAACTTTTTAAAATTCCATTCATTCTATTTCTTTATAAGATTAAATATTCTTGTTGTCTTAAAAACGATTGAAAAAATTAATTATATTTGTGTGTTCAGTTGATGCCATTTTCATGAATGTTTAATAATGACGTTGCTCACAGATAATTTGTAATAGTTATCTAAGGTTAAAAGAGCTAAGGTTAAAACAAGCTGTAAAAAAGCAGTAACATGTAGAAATTATTAGAGGCGAGAAAGTCAACACTCGCAAAATTCACATTGCATTCTTAGGCCGGCACTCGTAGTCGCGAATTATTCAACATGCTTCATTGAGATCATTGAAAGTACAAGAAATCGCAGAGTCACACGTAATGGAACATTGTCCGACCGTTTGAGAATCATTGTTTATCGCGTGAAGTAAACAAGTACGGATAAGTAGGTCGACGAGTAAAAACGGAGATTCACAAAGCCTCGCGATTACCACGAAAATGCCGGCCTGAATTTCGACTGGGGTGTTTCTCTACTTCCGGTAACTGCAACGCGTCACGCGCCCGTTAAAAACGGAACGTACCTGCGTCGTACAACAAGTGAATTGCATATACCTGAGAGATACATGACGATATCGCCGCCCACGTGTCCTGTGTCCTGCGTCCTGCGTCCTGCCTTCCCGCGATCCTGCATCCCGGGGGCTGCCTCTCTGCCTCGGCACTTGACACTCGCGATTCGATCGAAGACGCGGCTGAAATAACGCGGAGTCGACCAGCTTTAAAGCTCCCGATCCCTCGCGGCGGAACTCTTGATTGATGACGTCGCGGGCGAGAAGACACGCGCGTTGAAGATTCGAGCGTGCCACTTCTTTCGAATGAAAAGACACTCTCGTGTGAAGGGGTACTTCAGCTCGCCAAGACACGCTTGTCAAATGCTCCCGCCTTCAAAGTTAATCAACAGCCGCAAACTGAAACCAATACGCGAGAGGTCGTAATTAACACGGAGCTCACATACATAATTCACGCGCGAATTCACACGCGGCCTCGTGTTCCGCGACGATCACAGTCACCACTACGTTCTCTCTCCGCTTGCCCGCGACCGAATGAACGATAAACGAACAACGACGAAAACAAAGAGCGACCGAAACTCTTCAGTCAAAGCCCTGTCCTTGGTACTAAAGGTGTCAAGGTTATCGAAGCCGAGACCAAGTCGTCATAAATATTTTCGCACACGAACACCTGCTCGAGGATTTTCAGCGTGCCCCGTTCACCCTTCTCGCGTCACTATCCAACATGGCCGCGGCGAGCACGCAGGAGGGCTAATCGGAAGTCCGCGGAAGTAACGTAACGCTACCCTAAGGCCGCGAGTCGTCAATTTATATTTGTCCTGCTCCCCCCTCCTTGAGCCTCGAGATGGTTTCAATCGCCGGCGGCCGGCGGCGCTCTGATGACCGAGACGAGATTATGTTTACGTTTTTTTTTCGCCCATTATTTTGGTATCGCCGTGCGGCGTTGACTTTCCCGTGGCGTCGAAGCGACATTTTCCGTCGGCTCTTCAAGTGTCTCAGCGAATCCTCGACTCGACTTAATTGACACGCGTTCTTTCCTCCCGATAGAATCGCGCACCCGGGCACGCGGGCATCGGCCAGCAGGAGAAGCAGCTAGATCGGAAACTGGGACGGAGGGCGCAAGGACGTGGGCAGCGGTACGTCATGTATTTCCAGATGTACAGATGCATATTTCATATGCATAAATGTAAAACCGTCGACGAGGGGAATAAATAATAAAGAGATGATTAAGTGGACATATTTCATCCGCAGTTGGCTAAATTGTACGATCGATGGCGTTGCTTATCGCGTTGAAGCTAAAAATTAAACGCAGCGCTGGAATATCGAGACAACATTGATACCCCGAAGAGGGCTCTTTTTTAAGGACGCGGGGAGAATGGCACGCGGAGTAATCATTTATCGTGGGGTAAAAAATAGCCTGCGCGAGCCACGAACTCCGTGCACAATTTCGACGGAATTTACACAGTTAATGCGAAATCAAAATTTCCATTCGAGATGTTGCGGCCATATGAATGATATTTACGACGCATTGATTTCATAATTATCCAACACGTCGCCCTTTCAGCGCCGGTCGTTCGCTCGCTCTCTCTCTCTCTCTCTCTCTCTCTCTCTCTCTCTCTCTCTCTCTCTCTCTCTCTCTCTCTCTGTGTCGAAACACCCGGAAAGTAATCAATGGCGAATTCCCGCGCGCGCGAGCGAGCGCGCGCAAATAATCGAACGTGCATCGCGGGAGACGCGGAACACGCGCCACCTGATTATCTCATTAACTCATTAACTCGTAAAAACTCCACAAGACCGAGGAGACCAACCGAAGGAGCTGGGGAATGAAATTACATTTGAAACGCCAGCCCACTATCGGAGCGCGTTTCGGGCGATCTATAATTCGCGAAAGAATTCGAGACGGGATCTGCGAAAGGAACACCTTCAGAAGCGCGATTAATAGACGCACGGAAATAACCAGCGCATGAATCTCCCAACGATCTCGTTAAACCTTTAAACCGCGAGGATAAGGCGAAAATCCACCCGATGACGTTTTTTAATCGTCGCCATTAGATAGCGGCACATTACACAGCGGTGTCCTGCCAGGATTTATAATGTTCATAAATACGTTGGACCATTTCCGTTCGGATAAGAGAAGCTTTTCTCGCCGGCGGAAGGTTATTATGTTTCTTCCAAAAAATTGTACATGATTTAAAACCGTCCGGCACATTGCTGCAAATTTTTACCAAATATCTGTAGTTCACGTACGCCCGAAGAGAAAGAAATAATAAGAAAGATTATGGGATAAAAATTCTGCCGTCTCAGTGGTAACCTGCGGCCAACCTCCCTGCGCCAAATCCCGTCCAAGTCCTCGCGACTTCAGAACTCGCCGCTGATGCACCCTCCCCCCCCGATCGCGCCGCGTATCTCCCGTCACCATCCCTCTCGGCCGCCAACTATCAACGACGCGACGAGCCAATGCGAGTCATCGACTCGCTCATTATTCCTCGCTGTCTCCTACATACTTGACCGCGCTCGCGCCCGGCCATCCGCCGTGACGCACGTCTCCAGCGGCGCGCGTCGCGTGCTGAATTTCACGGTGCCCACGCGCACACGTGTGCGTGCGTTAATCATGCGCTCGCACGTACCTCGCCGCTAGCTGGAAAGTGAAAGGGAAACGGCCCCCGGTGCGCCACTGGGCCCCCTCATGCAGATGGCGAGCCGGGAGTCGCACCTGGCGGCAGGTGAGCCCCGCCGTGGGGGCTGCCTCCATTACGAACGGGGGGCGGGGGGAAGGGGCCGAGGCTTCCTCACCACCTCACCTCTCCCCTTCCTTCCCGACCCTCTCGCCTCCTCCTGGCCCGGCCCCTATCGTCCACCGAGTCGCGATCATATGTTGGCCACTGACCGGCGACCGACGTCGGAGAGAGACCCAAGCCGACGAAACGGTCGAAGTTAAGGCCGACTAAGGGCCGTTTTCGCAGGAGTCGCGCGGGATCACCTGCGGACTCGTTGGGGTTTCTTCGCGATGTTTCTTCAGCTTCGGCTTCCTGGGCCGGAATCAGGACCGGAGTGCTGTGATTTCCTCCCTTTCTCCGCTATTCCTTTTTTTTTACTCCTTTTTTTTATTTTCTTTTCTCTTTTCCTCTCCTTTTTCTTCTCCTGCCGAGGGTCGCGTACAAAAGTGTCTGGCCGAGTTTCAGCTGCTGTGGACACTGGGTGAACGGGAGAGAGTGAGAGGGAGGGAAGGTGGAAAGGACGGGAAGATGGTCGCGTGATAAATATAGACCACGAGCGGGGCGAAAAAATGTAGAGCGGACTTGAGGGTTGGCTTATCGAGGCGAGCGCCAAGAAAATACGTACGTTCCTCTGCCCACCGAGGTGGACACACTCTGGCCACCTCGACGATCGTGTCGTCGCCCGTCGACGACGTTCTCGCTGTTCTCGCGGACTTGCCGACCGCGGCAAGTCCAAAATCGAGAGAGCGACGCGACCGCCGAGAACGAGCTCGATTTTTATCAGCGACCCGCTCGCGCCAATGTACACACGCGCACGCATACATATCGACGCAAGAACGGTGGGAGTTAATTAATTATTGTTAATATTTAGCAATGATGTGAAATTAATGGTAACCATATTAACCGATATTAATATTAGATGTTATTAATTTAAATTACGGTCGATTAATTATGAACGCCGTATTAATTATGGCCGCGAAATGTGCAACCGCAGCGACGGATCCTTCGGGACAGTCCGATCGCGACAGGACTCCGCGCAGGAGGGGAGGGGGAGGGGGGGCCGGGAGCGTAGCTCCTCCTGTTTAGCTCAGACTCGGTCGTTTTGCTTTAACGAGGAGACGCGATCGCGACCACCGCCGCCGTCTCGCCCGTTGCGAGATGCAAATCCACGCTCGCGGAGAGTCAATTTGGAATTAATTACAGGCGCCGATTAAAAATTATGCGGCTCCGTGCGATGGATCCTCCGTCGCGCAGCAAGGGCAAATATCGAGGCTGCTCCACGATCAAATATTTCTCTTCAATCACCGAGAATGTGTAATCCCGTTCAAGAGAGGGTCTCTTTCCCCTCGCCCCCGCTCCGTCCCTCTATCGCTCGCTCCTCTCCCTTCCTTTCGAGCTGGAATTTTTTATCCGGAGAACGTTGCTTGGATTTAATTACAAATCGACGCGAATCGACTGGTGTATCTATACTCGCGCGTGCACCAGCCGCATATTAGCGCGCAGAGATAAATAAACATTTGCGGATCACACGAACCGGAGGGTAATTCCCTTTGATCGT